GCTCTTGCAGTGGCTCCAGTAAAAAACTATGGAATCATTCTCGACTCATCTCTTTCACTGTCTGCTTTTAACTCTTCCGTAAAAACTGTGGGTTCTACCTCCAAAATATATTCTCAGTCTGAGCAGTTCTCGTCACCTCCATCACTACCACTCTGTTCCGTAACACCCTCTTTATACGTCTTGGACTATTGCAGTGGTATCCTAACTGGTCTTCTGGATTCCACCTTTGCTCTGTTCCTGTTTATTTTCCACTCAGCAGCTAGAGCGATCCATTTAAAATACAAGTCAGATCTTGTGACTTCTCTGCTTTCAGCTCGCCAGTGGCTCCCCATTTCACTCAAAATCCAGTCTTACAAGATTTAACAGCCAACTTCCTCTGCAGTTTCACCTCCTACACTTCCCTCAGTGCTCTCTGCCTCAGCTGCACGAGGCTCCTTAGTGCTCACTGAGTACAGCTAGTGTGCACCCACCTCGGGGACTTTGCACTCGTGTCCTCTTCCTGAATGCACTGGACTTGCGCTCTCAAGGATATGCCCCAGTGTCTTCTACCAGAGCAACGTCTGCCACACCACACACACACACACACACACACACACACACACACACACACATTATCACCACCACCACAATCACCATGATCTCTGTCCCTCTACTTTTTACCCCTTAATCAACAACTGACGTATTACATATTTATTTGTTTATTTGTTTCTCTTCTCCCCCTCTACTTGAATGTAAGTGCTATAAAAACAGATTTTTTTTTCTGACTTATTCTCAGTGCTTAGAAGAGGGCTTGGCCCATAGTAGGTACTCAGTATATTTTTGATGAATTAGTGAATGAATCAATCAAGCAAGCAATGGAAATGTCAGGGCATCTCAATCCCAGAAGGGGATTTTTTCCCCATAGTTTCCTATCGTGTTACCCTGTATCATTCTTTCTCTGCCTCTTTGGGTTGACTCCTAGATAAATTCTTCATATAGAATCATTTTGAGCAAGGTTAATCCTTAGGTCCCTATGTCAGATATGACCCCAAAAGTCACACCTTGCCATGTACACTTGCCTTCAACCTCCTCCCCCCACATACTGGCCATGGTTCAG